CGTGCGGCTCGGGGCTCAGTGGCGCCGCAGGACGTCGCCAACCGGGGGTTGTGGGGGGGCCCCTAACGAGTGGCTTCTGAAGCAGTCCTTCGGTGGGGGCTGTGTAATAAAGGCCACTCGTGGGGTGTGTTTTTTAAATATATATTGGGAGTTATTTTTAATATATATTTTTTAAAAATAAAATCTTTGTTGCTTACGTGATGGAGAAATGTGCTTCCTCCTTCAAGGTTGTAGCGAGCTCTCTTTTTATAACGTTTAGTGCTCAGAATCACGTTTTGAGGAAAATAGCGTGGCTTAGTTCTAGAGGAAACGTCCTTGCTTTTTATTAAAATGCTGGACTTAGGGACTTGACCCTCCCAAATATCTGACTTCTTTTGCCATTGCTTAGTGGTAACAAAAAAGGCCCACGAGTAGGCCAGGCCAGCTCTGGGGCCACTGCAGTCCTGGCGGGCTGGGTGACCAAGAGTAACCACCCAGGGTGGCCTGATCACAAATTGCTAACTGGGCGGGTCGGCCATGGCAGGTGTCAAGTTCCAGGCCTGGTAGCTTCCTTAGCAACGCCACTCTCGGGGTTGAATGAACTCAGCCTATTCTCATGCATCTAGGAGGGTAACCCACCTTTGGAAGGTCGGGGTAATTTTCTTTTCCAACACCTCGCCTGGGAGACTGTGAAACTCCTCATTGTTATCTTGCTGCCCATTTATTTACTGTCAATGTTAATTATCCCATACTTACCAATGTAAAAGATGTAACTCTCCATTTTGTTTTTTATCCAATGATTTCAATGCTTTGCTTTCCCTCACCTCCCTACTCTATCACCAATGGATTTCATGCACCTTTCTTATAATCGCTCCTGTGATTCTAATGCATAAAAGGGACTGGAAAACTGCTCTTTTCCAGAGTCCATTTATACTCCTAGCTTTATCTTTTCCTGTGGACGTTACATCAATACCGAGCTCAAATAAGCTCCTTTCAAGAAGCCTTTCCAACCACAGGTTGTCTTCTCTTCTGAATCCTCTTAGTTCTTGGTACTTTTAAATGAACTTCCTGCCTAAAAGTGTGTTAATCCCATTGGATGACAGCACTCTACAAGGCACGTGAACTGCCCACACCTGTTTCCTCATCTAGAAAATGTGGACTAGCACCTGTAGTACAGACGTGTCCTGGGTTCCAGTGAGCATTAAGTGGGCTGAATGTGACACATGCCTGATACTAAGCGAGCATTAAATCAATGTTTCTTTTTAGAAACACTGGGGTTTCGATCCATAGAAGAACCCTACGGACCGAGCCTAAACACTATAGCAAATATTTGAGATAACGGGTCGCCAGGTGCAACAAGAAGCATAGATTTAGGGCGGTGCCTGCGCGGAGCTAGGTAGTTAAGAGCGCGCCTGCGCACTGGGGCAAGGAGCGCGTGCGCAGAGGAGCGGGCGGCGCATGCGTAGGCGGCCTGGTGGCCCCAGGAGCCCCTCCTTCCTCTCCTCTCTCCGCTCCCGCCGGTGGTTGTCAATCGGTAGCTGCGGGACTCTGGATGGGAGGATGGATTTCGAGAATCTTTTCTCCAAACCCCCCAACCCGGCCCTGGGCAGGAAACCGGTCACGGACTCCGACGCCATGGACTCCGACGACAGGTGACGCCCGTGTTTTGCTGCCCCGAGCGCCGGGGTCCCAGCGGGTTCCGCCCCCTTGCG